TTTCCTTCATGCATTCACTCAACGCAAGTGCACACTCAGCCGGGTTACAAAAGGCAATTGCTATGTCCCTCCCCATTTTTCTTTCTCCTCAAGCTCCCAGCCTAATGCTGCCCTACGGAATTGAAACTTGGGACATTCGGGGCTAAAGAGGTGGCTGGCTCCTGTATAGTTAACACAAAATGCTCCCTTTGGGGAAGTTGGGAGTCCTCAAGTCTGCTGGTTGTGTAGACACTCTGTAACCTCGCATGAATTATGAATGGATTGGGTGACCTGCCTGGCAGTGGACTTTGAATAATATCCCTTAAGAGGAAGCCACGAGGAAGAAAGACTGAAGACTGACTGGAGCCCTGGGTTCTGTGGGGACAAACTTGTCAGTGCTGGCACTTCTACATGGCACAAGGCCCAGGCATAGCAGGTGGCACAGACACGGGCTTAATTGATAGCTTAATTAAGGAATTAGGTAGGTTATAACTTCCAACCCACAGCTTGGTTAAGCTAAATTTCATTATCTCCCTTTCCTGTGGAAATGCACAGAGAAGTAAACACAGAGTGGGTGTTGTCCACCTCAGAACTTTTGCTTAAATTTTTTCCTTAACTTTTGCTTAATCTGTCCCATCTACATGAAGCTAGAAAGGAAAAATGGCGTGTTGGGAGAAAATGTCAACACATGCTACCTCTGCAACCCACGTTAGCCGTGGTTCTTCACGGATACCACCCTAAGAATCTTCCAAAGGCAGCAATTTACCCTGTTCCCTCAAGAACTTCCTGAATTAATTGCTTTCAGAAGAGAAACTTTGTCCTCAGGAGGCCTGAGCCTGGGAGATGGCTTGCTCACAAGCGCCAGTCTAGAGCCAGGCCACCAAGCTCTACGGTTTGCTGAGCGTTTTTCAATCTTAATAACTAGATCAAAATACCACTTCTAGAATGTTCCTGACTGGTGTGTTGGTTAGCTAGCTTCACATCATCTGGCTTCTCATCTTCTCTCAATCTTAGGCTTAGGAGGGGGAAGGTTATAGAGTCCCTGATTTAAATCTGCAGAGAGACGAAGAAGCAGGAGTTGGTGGTGTGCTTTGAATGTGAATCGCCCCCACAGGCTCATGGTTGAACAGTTGGTTCTCAGCGGGCAGAGCTGTCATAGGAGACTGTGGAATATTTAGGAGGCCCAGAGGAAATGGGCTACAGGAAGGCAGGCACACAGAGCCCAGAGATGTTTCCTGGCCCACCAAGGTGTCAGGAGTCCCAGCTGCACTCCACTGCCATGAAAACTTCTATTCCTTCCCCGTCATGGCGGCCATGCCCTCTCAAACGATGAGCCTCAATAAATCCTCCCTTCCTAAGTTCCTTGTGTCTGCTTAGTGACAAGAAAGGTGACTGACAGCGCTGAGAACGTTGCGATCTGGCTCCTCCCTAGCCTGGGCATTTCATTGGTGCCTCGACAATCCTGGAGTTGGGTTGGAGAAATAACCTAATGGGTAAACTGCGCTTATGTACAAGCCTAATGACCTGTGTCCCTATCCCCAGAACTCACACGAAAGCTGAATGCATTAGTTTAAGCTTCTGGAATGCCAGCAGACCACTACAGGTATGTGTGGCTGAAGCAGGAAAATCTCAAACTAGCCCAGCTTGCACAATAAAGGGAGAACTGTCCTCTGACCTCACAATCATGCCTCGGCTCCCACACCGGCAAATGTGCAAAACCACATGTATGCACAACACACACACACACACACACACACAGAGCCAATGTTGAGAGAGACCATTTAGTTTTTGGCTACTGGGACAGAACTGAGCCTAATGGCACTAGGTGTGACCTGAGGTGTCTCAAGAGATCTCTGGCAGTTTTTGAGCTATGAAACATTTTAGACAAAGGTTTGTTTGTTTTTTAATGGCTTCTTTGTTCTCACATGAAATATCCACTAAATTCTGGGCAAGCACGTTGTCCGGCCACTCAGCATCAAACTTTAACCTAAAGGAACATCCGGCTTTCTTTGAAATGGTCAAAGTCTCTTCCATAGCCTCTTCATGTCCTACTTCTTCACTGTCTTCACCGTCCCTACTTCTCTTAGCTTCAGACAGAACTCATAGATCATGGAGGATCTTTACACTTCCCTTGTCAGGCCTCTGATTAAACTCACACACCCCAGCTGCCATTTCAAAGGCAGCTTCAAGCCTGGATGCCTTTTCTGAAGTTACTTCCAAAAATCTATCCATAAATTAGTAGCTATGATATGTGTATTAACCTCTAGGACTTCAGACAGCATATTGATTCTGGGTAGAAGTTTTAGCATCTGGTTTGTCTAAGGAATTTAATTTTCTATAACCACACGTTCCCAGCATATTGTCCAGTACACACTCTCAGGAGCTCCCAAGCGCTGTGTGGACACTGAGGCTTACCCACATAGCTCTTCTCTGATTTGGAAAGTGGATTAATGAATCCACTTTAGGGATTTTGAATAGGGGATTTTTGTTATTGTTGGATTTTGTTGTTACTATTTGGAGACAGGTCTTACGTAGTCCAGGCTGATCTTGAACTCACTCAGGAAACCTAGGATGACCTTTGATTTCTGATCTTCCTGCCTCTACCTTTAAAGTGCTGGAACTGGTTACAGGTGTCACACCGAGTGTGTGGGGCTGAAGATCAACCCCAGGCTTCATGCATGTTGGGCAAGCACTCTACTTGTTCAATTTAAGGGCAGCTTGCTCCTGGGTTTGTGCTTTTCTTGGTACATATTTGATAAAATGCAAGCATATAACTGTGCCTCAATCTGGTGATATTTAAAATATGGAACAAGTCATATTTTAAGGCCTCCTCCACCTCCTCTCTGAGCTTAATAGCTTTCTGTTGCGTCTGATCAGGGCTGGCCAACACTAAAAAAGACCAGCTTTGCAGACATGCTTTTAAAAATCAATCGTTAGGTCCAACATTGATTTATTTAGCATGGAGCATATGAGATTCTCCATTTTAAGGTCTTCATATTTCTGAGATAACTGCCTTTAAATCATCATGTTTTTCAAAGTCTTAAGTCTTTGGGCATCACTTTCTAACATGCTAAAAGCAAAACTTAGTGTGTTCTCCCTCTTTAGGATGTATTACGTATGGAACGCTTGCACATGTGTGTGCACCTTCAGAGGCTGGAGTGTGGAACGGGAATTATAGGACACTGTGAGCCAACCAATGAAGGTGCTGGGAACTGAACTCGAGTCCTCTGGAAGAGCAGCGAGTGCTCTTAACCACAGAGCCATCTGAGCAGACACAGCTCTGACCTACAGCTTCCGCCCCTCCCTTTGCCCCACCCCTCACCACACCCCTCACCCCGCCCCTCGCTCCACCCCTCGCTCCCTCTGTGCTGTATGTGGCTCATGTCCTGTCCATCTGCTCAAACAGGTCTTTTCACTGTTTGCTCCCAAAGTCTTTGCAAAAACAGCTTCTCCTAACCTTCCTGACAGTCTCCAAGCCATCCTCATCCCCAATCCTCTGACAGCGTGCTGCTGAGGCAGAACTGTCAGAGCAGGCCAACTAGGACTAAGGAATACTTTTTGTGACATTAGTCAGCAAAAATTTGGATATCATATAAAACAACCTACACATTTTAAAAACAGAATTCCTTTATATGAATGTAACATAACGTATCCTGTTACTCAGATTCCAGGTTTCTTGTTCTGTTGTAAAGAACAGTGCAAAACATCCTTTAATATGTATGCCTTGACCTAGTAATGCAATATGTAGATTCTGATGCTGGAAATGCCCACATTTTAGAATGCCACTGTTGCCAGCCACTTACATTTAAGATCTCTGCTGAACGGGGATTTGGAGCAGCTTTGGTAAAAGTGTTTCCATGTAGGTCCGTCTTCGTTAGCTACATTACTATTGGCCCATTTGCCACGGGGTGTTTTGCTCATCTAAATGGGAAAAATTCTTTAACTGTCAGTGATATTAACCTCTTCCCTAGAGGAACATCTACCCTGTCTTTTTGAGTGCCCAAGTTCCAGCCACTGATAGGAAAATCTGTGCCATCACGAACCTGAGTCCAGCAAGGCTTTGGGAAACCGGAAACTCCCAAGTGTGCTCCCCAAGCCCAGAGTCTTGCTGAATAGCAAATTCAAGCCACTGTGTAGACTTAATGGACTCTAGGTCACTGTGCCAAACTGACAAATGCAGAGGAGCACCGAGACTCCTCCTCAAAGATGTCTACGCTAAGGGCAGTGCTCATGGGCACCATTATTCACGCTGCTCCGGTGAGTCTGTCTTTCCGGCCTCAGCGTTGGCTGTTTGTGCCCACACCAGCACTCGACAGCTGCCTGACCTCTGGTGGTTGTAAGCCTCCCCTCTGCCTGCTCTCATGGCTACACCCAGCACACAGCCACTACAAGTCCCATCTTTTCTCTCGAGAGTCATCTGCGGGCCAAGGTGATTGCTTTACAGCACTCATGGCTCTGGGTACCATTCCTTCTTGGTCCTTGCCACAGAAGTGGGTAAACACATGATTGCCAGGCCTCCCCACTGCTATTAGCTCCCTTAACAGGGTCTTCCCACTCACCTGTGCTTTCTCCCCACTTTACACCCATGGTCCCTGCAGTAAAGGCAAGCAGCCTAGAGTGGGGGCACCCTGCCCTCAGAATATGGAGCAGAAAGAACTGTGTTCAGACTCTGATGCTTGCCACTGGGCACACATCTGAAAATTGAATCCCAGAAGGTCTCCGCCACCTGCCAAGACTGCAGCCGCAGATCAGTACCAGAGCTCATTAACTCTCTCAAGAGGCTCCAGCTTTCTGCAAGCAGTTGCTTGCTGCTGCATTACATTTAGCACGTGACAGAGTCCTCCCTACCCCCACTTGTGCACATGTACCCTTTCCTTGTCACAGGCTCCTCATGTACCGCTCACAGTGGCAGCATTTAAACAGCTGCTCTACCAAGTTAATGCTCCTGTGCAGTCTGCTCTGTGCTGCCTGCTTTGTATTCTGATTGTGATTTCCCCCAAATAAGTCAAGGCTGCATTGCGGAAGGTTTAATCATCAGTGTTTAATACTTCTGAGTACAAGAGAGAACTAGACCAGAAGCAAGGGACAACCTGTAGAGAGCCTTGAGAATGCAGCAGCAGGCAAAGCGGTCCCTCCTTAGCACTGTCTGTCTCCCCCTCCTCCTCCTCCTCCTCCTCTTCTTCCTCCTCTTCCTCCTCCTCCTCGTTCCTGGTTCACTTTGTCCTTCATTACAGTAACTGTCCATCTCATCCCATCCAAACCTTCAAGGGGCCTGCCACCTCCTGTTTGTGCCTGCAAGCAAAGTGATCTGACTGTGGCTCTAGGGAGACACAGTAGGCCGGCATGTACTCCCCCTGGTCAAATCCAAACAGACTTTGCAGCCATACATCGGAGGGCAGGTCTGCTGCATTGTACGCCACCAACCCAGCCACCATGCGTGAGAGGCTGGCGCCATCTCAAGACATACTAGCTTGCTTCTCCTGTCTTGTAGCACATGCAAGTTGACTGCCTTTACCCCAGCGCTGCTCACTAGACTCTCAACCCCAAGGGAACAAGGTCAAATCCCTCCTGGCCACTAAAGCCTAGTGCTGTGACATGTAATTACAGATAACAATGTATTAGTACATGACACTGAACCAAACACTTCTGACCAATCAACTCAATCCTAGGAATTAGGAAAAAAACGCATCAATCAGAAAACAAAAACAAAAACACCACCTTCAGTTTAGAGAGAAGGAAGTGGGTCAGAATGGAAACTTCAGGAAGACAGGAGTTTGTAACATCACGGTGTATACCAGACCTTAGACTAGCAACTGACACAAAGCTCAAACCACTATCACTGTTAACTCTCCTGTCACTCAATCAGATGAGAATTGTCTTCTCTTCCACCCGTACCTCTTAAATGCCCACATTAAAGCTAAAGACAGTGAGGCCAGGAAGGAAATTGGGACTTGCCCAAAGTCACACAACCATTGGACAGCAAACTCAGCCTACCATGCAGACCTGACAGCTTCTAGCCCACACAGCCAGACTAACAGACACACAGAACACTGCTGCCCTTTCTCATGGGTGACTGCTCTGCTTGGCCATCTTCTCCAGAGCATGTACTCTCTGGTGGCTTTGCACCCAAACTTGTTGGCAAATTACCAATGCTCTCTGGATAACCAAATGTCTATCAGATGATGGCACCTGTCAAGTCCCAATCCTCAAGTCCCACAGCTCCCAACAGAGGTTGCTTTGGCACTAAACTGAAACTGACTCATGAAATCTGCTGATGGGATGCTGGCCCCAATTCTCCAACTCACCCAACAGCCTAGAACTGTAAGCCAACCCCAACTGTCCTCTCCTCCAATGGTAGAGCAGGTTTCAAGGCTCAGGGTATGTAGAAAATAGCCCTGATGACAGAGAATAAAACAGCAACAATTCTAGAGAAGAAGTTCTAGTAAGAAAACAGACCAAACCCACAAAACACTGAAATTACAGCTCAAAAGAGACAGATGTTCCATGCTTACACATTACAAGATTCAGGAAGATGTTAGGATGGCAACTGTTTATGATTACCTGTGGACTCAAAACAGTCTTCTCATGTTCTCAAGTGTGGAAACACAGTCCCTGTGAGTTCTGGCTGCTTAGTATTGACTGTCCTAATGAAGGCAGGGCAGGGTCTTCTCACTGATAAGGGCTTGAATAGCTGGGTTGAAAAGCAGAACAGTGGCAGTAATGGCCATCTGAAGGCTCTGTCTACTTTGCAGGGATGGTGTAAGCGGCTGGAGGTGAGAGGGTCACATCTCCTTCCTTGAAGCTATTCAGCTGTGACTAGCAGAAATCTTAAAACTCAGACAGCTGATAACGTTGCTGCCCATGGACTTCTTCCTCACTTGCCTGACTTCACTTATGAGCTCTTAAACTTCTGACCTACAGAGAATTTGAAATGCTAGTTCACCAACAGTGTCTGCGTTTGAGACCACATGTTGTCTCCACCACTGAAACAAGACAATCAAACCCCACAACACAACAACCCTGAGCTGAGCTAGATGGGAGGTGCATGCCTGTAACCTCAGTGCTCTGGGGGCTAAGGGAGGGGCAGCTCAATTTCAAGGTTAGCCTGGTCTACATAGTAAGGTCAGACAGGGATATATAGCAAGACTCTGTCTACAGAAACCGAAATAACAACAACAACAAAGCACTTTCAAACATCCCACAGTAGAAACATAAGACAACTTGGTGGACATTTTTCTTAGAGAGAGATTCAAGATGACAGCATTAAGACACAAGGGGAAGATGCTTCTCTGATGCCTGCCTTTTATCCAAGGTATGATTTAAGTGGTCTGGGGTGAGACTTGAGAATTAAAAACAAAACAAACAAACAAACAAACTCCCCACTGAAAACAAAAACAACACAAACAAACAAACAAACACCCCTTAAGTTTACTAGTTAAGTAAAGGTCAGCAGGACTCCTTCTTAAGACTGGCTGCTCTGCCCGGACCGTCCTTAGCGATCATTTTCTATAAATATATCTTAAATCACTTTGTCAATATTACTTCTCTTATCATTTCTTTTATTTAAAAATAAATTTAAAATAAAGTTGTATAGTGGCAAAATAATTTTAAATTAAAATTTCCTACTTGACGCTAACAGAGATACGTCTTATAGAGGGGAAGACTTTGCTGCCATTAGTAATGCTTAAGCCAAGGAAAGGTGACATGGTTCTAAACACGGTCTCACTGAGAATGCGAGTAGAGAACTGCAGCGTGTGTAAATGCTGCCGGTGAGCATGTGGCACATCTGCCGGGCCCTGCAGGCCCCAGGATGCAGCACCTCCACGGGCAGGCTGCACACAGAAGACACAGAACAAAATATACAGATTACTTTTAGCATGTTAAAAACAATCACATCAAAAAGTATACAGATTAAAAAAAATGCCATAGATGACATAAGAAAATAGTGTATCCATATATATTGCATATATATATATATATAATCTACATAATTTACCACTATGATATATACTTTCTGCAGAGGCATAGATGCTGCCATCATGAGCTAAACTGTACAGCTTGGTTCCTTACAAGTCACAGAGTCATACTTTAAGAACTGAAACTAATATCCTCAGCTACTTGTCTATATACATTTATTTCTCACCTTCCACATGATCTAAATCAAGAGCCTGGTCGTTTTGTCAGGAGTTGGGAGTTTCAGTGTGGTGTTCACCTTTAATATACTGCATTTGCTTCCACACTTAATAACATCATTACCATGTTAATTAAATTACATTAGAATCATTATATACATAAAAATATTGTCACGTTTGCTAGATAAACACTGTTACTTTCATGAAGACATATTTTTGTACTGCAAAAGCTTAGGACCCCACCATGAAGCAGTGGGGGGCGTCACTGTTGGACTTTCTAGTTTCTGATATTCAGATACAAGAGGGTAACGGTGGACGAGCATTTACACAGACACAGCCATTGCTCTTGGAGAATCCAGCACTTTGTCAGTGTCTTGGTGACAGTAGTGTGTGACAGCATAAAAGGAATAATCACCTTTTTAAAAAAAACCATGAACTACAATTATTTTTCACTGAAAAAAATTCCAAAACTACGAAACAAACTACCTTTCTCCCCGATTTTTTACAAAGATCAAAATTCTAGATAGTTATTAATCATTAGGGTATTTTCCCCAACTTTGACAGGGATAATGGAATGGCCCAGTAAGTGTAGCAGTATCCATCCACTCCACTCTGTGAAGACTGAGTGCCAGAAAAGACTGTGTGAATGGTCCCCTAGGGCCTGCGAGAACCGGAAGCAGAGTGAGAAGCAGCCTTCCTTTACGGTTAAAGCTGCTTTCCAATGACTGTGAAAAGCAACCTTCTACTGCCTAGGGCACTGCCAGGTCTGACTTCCAGCTCGTCCCTCACCTGGCCAGAGCCCAGGGCACAGCCGCACCAAGACACTTGGAGATGTGCAGCCGCTCACTTCGGCTAACTGACTCTCATTTAGGCACCATCGAGAGGTGAGACTTTCCCCACAGCCTTTAACTTTCAGGAGGAGACAAAATGGCAGGAACTTGAGGAGCATGATACTCTGTAAGGCGCTGGACTCATAAAGTCAGGACAAACTTTAGTCAGTTTCAGTTTAGAACCTGAATTAAAATATGATGGGGCAGGGTGAGCAGACAGATAAGGAGTAAAAAAAAAAATCACTGTTATTCCATGGATCTACATTAAAGGTGGTTTTAAAACCAAAATCTATATGCACAGGTGCTTGCCTCGTCTATTCAAAGGTGAGGGCCAGTCCTCAGAGTATCTGCTCTATAGTGTCTCAGTGCTTTCTAACAGTAGTCAGAACCCAACGGGTCTAGGGGGAAAATATGAAGGGGACAGCATAAAGAACCCTGCTGTGTGTGCAGCCCTGAATGCTACTGCTGGCTCCAGGCTACTCTATTAAAGGTTCAGCCAGGATGCACCGACTCCCTCTTCTTCAGCAGCCTCTGCACAGGATGATGCATTCCCACACCCTCATCACTGACACACACTGAGCTGCGCAAGTGTTCACAATATAAAAAATACTGCTTTGGCAATTATAAACATAGCAATGTGGGTATCATACGGGTTCTATTCTCTTGTTGTCAGTGAGTACAGCCACACTATCACAGCAACACTGATTCTTGAACAGAAAGTCCCTCTCGATTTCTGTATTGATGTGCCGAAGGTGAGGGACCTGAATATGGGTACCCAGGAGGACTGGCAGCTTCCACAGCTGGTGAAGTCTTATATCTCACTGGACTGTCTACAGACACTTCTGGAAGGCCATGGTCCTGAAAAGGTATGTGCTGAAAGGCTGCATATTTTGGTAAATTGCTTAAGTGGCTACGGTTAGCATCCTGAGTCCATGATTGACCGTGCATCTCTGGTCTGTATGTGTAACTAACTTCTGACCATTTTCTGTTCTCTGGCAAATAGTCCACTGGAGGAAGGATGAACTTTCCGTTCTTTGGTGACCCTGAACTGCCGTACCCCCTGGCACCGATGTCAATGGGAAGGACTTCAATTCGACTAGAGGGCAGAACAATAGGAGTTGGGCGGCCGTAAGCTTTCTCTGGAGAAGTGTCAACTGAAAGAGAGGAACCATAAGGTCTCCTGGAAGGATTAATTTGAGGCCCAGGGCTGATCTGTGCTGACACAAAGCCACTGTGAGCAGTAGGGATGTGTCTTGGAGAATTCGCACGGTAGCCAGGGGGGTTGCTGTAGGAGGGTGGCTGCGCAGCTCTGAGGTCCTCCTCTAGCTGGGATGGGTATCGGCCATGGCTGAGAGGCTGCACTTTAAACGTAAACTTGTTGGGTGCTTTTGGCGGACTAGGACTTGGCTCAGGGTGCTTCCTTGGGCTGTGAGGGTGAGTTCGCTCCAGTCCCTCTTCCGCAGATGCTCCATGCTCACCCTCACCTCCAGGCACGTTGTCATACTGGGAAGCGTTGGAACCCCGCTTCCCGTCCCCCCCATCAAAAGCCTTCATCTTTTGCCTCGAATTTGACAATCGGGTCTCAGTAGAACTCGGGATGGTGACAGGAAGAGCGGGAAGCACTGAGTGACTTTTGCCTTCAATGGCGTATTTAGCAGTTCTTTCAATAGCTGAGGCATCTGATGGTTTTCTCCATTTGGGCATAAATTCCTTCCTGATGTTTGAAATTGCATTGCTATTTTGGTTAGCAGCTGCATGGTTATAGTGCCTGGAACTGTCCTGTGTACCCGGGGAAGATTTTCTCTGAAAATCTCCCTCATGCTTCAGATTTTTACTATCCTCATCCACGGACTTCCGTCTTGATTGCCCGACTCTTTCTGGCATGCCATTTCTGCTGTGATGGGCAGGAGAATGCTCGTGTTTTTTGTGAGGCGACCCATCTTCTTTCCTGCTGCTTATTTTGGGGCTGGGCCTGCCAACACTTCTTTGTCCGTTGCTCAGGTGATTAATACAAGCAGAGTTAGACTCAGGTGGAAGCTGCCCCAAGGGTTTCTTTGGATATTCATCTTCCTTACCTAAAATGAACAATAAATCCATAAGTAAAACAAATATATGAATGATGATTATCTAGTCTAAGAGACACATCATGAACAACTGAAGATTATCTTATGTGTGTGGAAACACTGACAAACACTGATGCACACAGACAAACATCAGTGCCTAACAGGAAGCGATTTGTTGAGGAAATGATACTAAGACAGAGCTAACCTCAGAACCTAAGTAGGCACTGTGCAGGCAGGGACAGCTCACAGGCGAGGGCCACCAACTGCCTAACACCCAATTCTTGTACTTTCTTACACACTGTGACATGCTTTCTAAGCAAAGGTGACGCTCATTAAACAGCTGGTCGGTGGCTGAGACTTCACATTACGTTGCTTTCATGTTAGCACATCTCAACTAAAACAGTTTTGAAATCAGCAAAGTCTTTGCTTTAAGCTTCAAGCAGGTCTGTTAAAGTTGAAAGTCATTTGGTAACTTACTCTAGTACAAAAATTCTCCCCCAGATTGTTATTATCTTGGGTATTTCCACAGTATAACTTATTGTTTAAAAGAAAAATACTCTCCAACTGAAAACAAAACATTCTAACAATATACTACTTAAAAATGTAAAGACAGAAAAAGAAATTTAAAAATAATGAAAACCACATTAGGTGATTTATTTAATTAAAAAAAATTGTGAGTGTGTCTGGCTGGTGTGTACATGTGTTACCATGTACATGCCTGGCGCCTGGGATTCTGAAGACAACACTAGATCCCCTAGACATGGCTTCAGAGGGTTGTCAGCTGGGAGGCAAGCACTGGGAGTAGGAGCCGGGTCTTCTAAGCAGCCAGACGACTTGACGGAGCCATGTCTCCAGCCCACTTACTTTTATATTCTAAATAACTAACATAGAATTGTGAGCAGTTGAAGGGAGGCGTAATAAAATGGCCAGTTAGCAGAGTGTATTTTAAATGCTCTATCACATTACCAGATTACCATGAAAAAAATTAAACATGTCATTTGCAAAAACTGAAAAATATTTTAACTTTTATTATAAGACAACATTTGACCCTTGAATATAAGGTTTTATTTTCTCCCACTATGCAGTTAACGAAATCTCTAACTGATGCTCACAGACTGCAACCTGCAGGGGATGCTGTGAGCAGGAGATGGGAGTTCCTCATGGCCCCAGTCACTACCGTCTTGCCTCTCCTCTCCCTCTCTCTCCCTCTCTCCCCCTCTCCCCCTCTCCCCCTCTCCTCTTCTCTCCTCCCCCCTCCCCTCCTCTCCTCTGGGGTGGGAGTACTATGTTTACTCTCTTAGAATTCCCATACTGTTTGTTTCTTTATAGGGAGTTTTAGTTGGTATATAACAGGTATAGACCCATTTCTTCGGGATTATTAAAGAATGACACTATGTTTTGGTGTGCTGGGCCCAGAAGGCTGCCAAGCTAAAGACCCAAGTTTGATCTTGGAATCAACATCATGACACAGGCAATAAACAGATGTGGCACAGCACTTGCTTAGCGTGTGGAAGGAAGGCCCTGGTTCCCATCACCGGCATTCCAACCCAGTCCAGTCCCATCCAATCCAAACAAAACAAGACAAAGCAAACAGGAAAATTAAAGTGGTAAAAACAATTTAAAAATCAGAAGTGGGGTGGTGCAGAGCAGGAAGGAGAGCCGGAAAGAACAAGATGCTCTCTCTGAACAAGACAGACAGGCCCCAGCTGGAGGCCAGAAAACTGACCCAGTTACAACACAGAGTACCATGAAGAGGACCAGGTAGTTTATCCTGAGTTAACTGGAAGTAAACTCTAGAGACTTTTCAACAGATGAGTTATAATCTGAGGTATAGCACAGCCGTTATTTTAGATGGCAGTATAGATTGCCATCTAAATTGAACAATAAGCAGTAATGACAACAGTCACAGTTGTCGACCCCATTAACTAATTCCTATGTGTCAGTCATCACTCAAAACACATAACACAACATTGAAATAGACACATGACTTCATGATCTCCTAGGGGAGGAAACTGAGGTAGAGATGGAGTTGCTCAAGGGTTCATAGCCAGCACGGGGTAGACGCAGAGCCCACCCAAAGCTAAGGCCAGCACCCGTGCCTTTCCCGCACTCTACTGCAGTGGAGGCAGTGAGACACTTGCTTTGAACATACGTTGACGTGAAGTCCATCTGCAGGCAAGAGAAAGATTTAGGTGGAAACTCTAAACAGGTACAGGAGAGTTTATTTTCTGTATAAAGAACAAGAAAAGTTTCTGCCTCACGCTTTACATTTAAGTAAGTAGAGAAGTATATCCAAGGAAAACCAGCTGATAAGACATTCATCTGACATGTGGTATGAGTCCAGCCTTTATCTCTCCAGCCCGATGGATACACCTGTGCATTGTGTAAGGTTGAAGGGGATGAAACTGGAGAGACGCTCAGCCTGGCTGTTCTTCCAGAGGACTCACATTCGATTCCCAGCACCTATGTGACAGTTTACAACCTTTGCAAATGCAATTCCAGGCAAGCCAATGCCTCTTCTGGTCTCTGTGGGCATTGCACGTATGTGATGCACAGACATACATGCAAGTAAAACAACCAAACACATAAAATTAAAAATTAATAAAATTTACAATTTTTTAAAGGAAAATTTCTGCAGATTTCATTTATTGGATTAATAAGAGCGGCGTGTACAGGGGCACAATGTCTGTGCCTGTTCTAAACTATCCAAGAGAAGCTCTTCCCACTAACCCATGGCCTAACATGTCCACTGCCCTAGTGGCTTCTCCTTTTGTATTCCTTCAGAGCAATGGCACGTGCCCACATTGGCAGTGGGAAACACTGAGTAAAAATACCCACAGTTCACAGTTAAGAAAGTAGAGTCCGAGGAGGAGAACCACACACAAAAATTACATACTATGTAACTATCTCCTAAACGGCAAGCCCTCATTAGATACTTGTGTGTAAAAGGCACATGGCCAATATATTAAATGCACAAACCCTTTAGAGGACATGGCTTCTTTGCTCCAGTAAAACTTTTCAATAAGGAGGCAGCAGACAGGAATATAAGAAAAGTGCCTCCTAAGATTACAAGTACTTAGAAATCAATTTCTCTAAATGTTAAAAGCAGTGAAGCACGCTAGCCCAGAGTGCTTCACAGTGAGGGAGGGGCCTCTCCGTGTTAGGCCAGCAGGCAATGCTTCCACATGCCCAGTTCAAACAGTGTCTACACGTGTACTCTCTCTGCTGTGCATGGGGGCAGGCTTAGGGATACTTAAGGCATGGCTTGCGTCTTAGTTACTCTTCTAACGCTGTGAAGAGATACCACCACCAGAGCCACTCTGACAAGAGAAAGCACTTAACTGGGGATCTGCTTACAGTGTCAGGGTGTTAGTTCATTATCTTCATGGTGGAAAGCAGGTAAGTGTGTTGCAGACAGCAGGCAGAGACAGTGACTGGGCCAGGCCTGAGCTTCCAAATCGCAAAGCCCACTCTAAGTGACAGACTTCTTCCACTAAGGCCACCGCTCTAATCCTTCTCAAACAGTTCCATTAACTGGGGACCGAACATCCAAATATACAAGCCTCTGTGGGCCAGTCTCATTCCGACCAGCACAGCCTGCGACAGTGGCATCAGCAGAAAGCTTCCAGAAACACTTGCTGACTGACTGTTGGGCTACACTACAACTGTATTGCTCCCATGAATCTCAGCAGGGCCACCACAAAGTTCATGTGTTCCTTATATCTAGTGAAGGACTTGGCAAAGGTGTGGTAGGTAGAGTAGAGAGGACCAGAAAGGATGGAAACCAGAGTCACATGAAGCAAGAGATGGAGGTGGACCCAGGGTACAAATCTATAAGCAAGGCTCCCCTCACAGAAGCAGGTTCTAAATCATGTCTCAAAGGTCTCGCAATTCCAGTGGCCAAACCAAACCCATAGTCTCTCTGTCAAGTAATCTGACCTCTGCTATGATGAAATTAAGAGGAAATGCCTACATGATTTCTATACAAAGATGATTTATTTTATTTTATTTTTTTAGTGAAGATTAAGTACACAGCTTTTACTGGGCCAAGGCAATAGTGTGTGTATCAACACACTATTTGTAGCAACAAATGTCACTACCAGTTACGTTTTTGTTCTAATAAGTATTTTCTATCACAAAGTGGATTTAAGTAACTCTGTGAACACTTAAGACAGATAGACAGACAGACAGACAGACACGCGCACACACACACACGCACAGTCTTTGGGTTAACTGATGCCCTACATCTTTACTCCTCCCAAGCAACTATGCTCAGAAGACTGAAGCACAACTGATGTAAGAACAGACGCATTCCATCAATACGTGGGGCATTTCTACAGTCAGCATGTACTGTCCCCTCACCCCTGCTTTCAAATGAGACTCTCCTCGGTGAATGCGGTTTTGCACCTCTGGTGTCTCTGCTCAGCTTCCTATCAGCAATGTGCTGCTCCTCCTTCCTGAAAGCACCGGTGCGCTCCAGCCACACAGCAGCACAGCTGTGTATGAGGACATCCTATTAGTGGCCCTTCACCCACGGTCAGTCATGTAAGCCCGAATAATCGTCTCTCCCCACCCACAGGAAAGAGACTTGATACAATTTAGGACAAAATCAAAATGCTTATTTCTTTTTTGTTTTTGTTTGTTTAGCATTGTTGTCTTTAAAAGCTCCAAAAAGCCAACAGTAGTAGTCTAACTTCCCAAGAAGGTAAAAGGGTCCCTTTTCTGTCTCCACAGGCCTGTCCACTTCTGCTCTGACTTAGGTCTCTGTCACCACCCAGTGGACACCACACTCCACTACAGGGTGGAGTGCCTCGGAGGCATCAGCAACTCCTGGAACCCAATAAGGAGATGTAATTACAAAGTGCTCCCGAGCTCTTCGGGTGAGCCTCCTACTACTTCCGATTGCAAGAACACAATTTGCAGCACACAATGGAACTGACTGACATGTACAAACATGATAAAGAATGGCTCAGTACCTCTAAGTATGTTTTGTGCTAACCTTTTGTATACAG